AGTAGTAGTAGTAGTAGTAGTAGTAGTAGTAGTGGTGGTAGTAGTGGTGGTCGTAGTCGTAGTAGTAGTACTAGTAGTACTAGTAGTACTAGTAGTACTAGTAGTACTAGTAGTACTAGTAGTACTATTAGTCCCAGTTGTATTAGTAGTCGTAGTCGTAGTCGTAGTAGTCGTAGTCGTAGTCGTAGTAGTAAGAGGGTGGAGGAGGAGGGCGAGGAGAAGGACCAGGAGGAGGAGGAGGAGAGGGACGAAGAGGATGAGGACCAGTGTCAACCCAAGGCCCATCAACGACGTTGCAGTGAATCCTTCCTCCGAGTTCTTCCCTTATAGATTCCTACAAGGATTGGGCTTCACTGCGGGAAGTGCCCCGTTGGAAGGCAACCGCTTGGTATTCCTGACCGGTGCCGGATAACCATTCCCGGGACTGAACCGCCGCGAATCAACATGACATTCACGTTTTGACGATCCTGAAATGCGCCAGGACACCATTCCTGGGACTTCGACGCCACGAATCAAGGTAACTTCTGTGCCCTGACAGTCCTACGTCGTGCCAAAACACCGTTGCTGGGACGTCAGCCAGAATTATCCTCGAACTGATGTAAAACCGCAGAACGAATGCGCGCGGCGCTCAGGCGAAGGCCAAATTTTCAAAAGGAGCCGCCCTCCATCCGCGAAGGAGGAGGAAGAGGAAGAGGAAAAGGAGGAGGAGGAGGCGGAGGAGGAGGAGGAGGAGGAGGAGGAGGAGGAGGAAGAGGAGGAGGACGAGGAGGACGAGGAGGAGGACAAGGACGAGGACAAGGAGGAGGACGAGAAGGAGGACGAGGAGGCGGAGGAGGAGGAGGAGGAGGACGAGGAAACGGGGGCTGAGGAGAAGGGGGGAGGGGACGGGAGGAGGAAGGGAGGAGGGAGAGGAGCAGGGGAGGAGAGGAAGAGGAGGGGAGGAGGAGGAGGAGGAAGAAGAAAGACGAGGACGAGGAAGAGGACGTATGAGGAGGAGGAGGAGAGGAAGGGAGGAGAGGAGGATGAGGAGGAGGCGGGGAAAAGGGAGCGTGGAGGAGGAGAGGAAAAAGGGGAGGATGTAGGAGGAGGAGGAGGAGGAGGAGGAGGGAGGAGGAGGAGAGGAGAGGAGGAGGAGGGGAGAGCAGCAGGAGCGCAGGAGCAGGCAGAGCAGCAGGAAGCAGCAGGGAGCAGCAGGAGCAGCAGGAGCAGCAGGAGCAGCAGGAAGCAAGCAGGAGCAGAAGGAGCAGCAGGAGCAGCAGGAGCAAGCAGGAGCAGCAGGAGCAGCAGGCAGCAGCAGGAGCAGAGGAGCAGCAGCAGGAGGAGCAGGGAACAGGAGCAGGAGCAGGAGCAGGAGCAGGGAGCAGGAGCAGGAGGAGGAGGCGGAGGAGAGGAGGAGGAGGAGGAGGAGGAAGGAGAGGAGGAGGAGGAGAGGAGGAGTAGGAGGAAGAGAGAGGAGACGAGGACGAGGACGAGGACGAGGCGAGGAGGGAGGAGGAGGAAGAGGAGGAGGAGAGGACGGACGAGGGGAGGAGGAGGAACGGGGAGGAGGAGGAGGGGAAGGGGCAGTGGATGGAGGAGAGAGAAGAGGGGAGGAGGAAGGGAGAAGGAGGAGGAGGAGGCGGGAGGAGGCGGAGGAGGAGGAGGAGGAAGGAGAGGAAGGAGGAAGGAGGAAGGAGGAGGAGGAAGGATAACGAGGAAGGAGGAAGGAGGAGGAGGAAGAGGAAGGAGGAGGAGGAGGAGGAGGAGGAGGAGGGAGGAGGAGGAGGAGGAGAAGGGGAGGAGGAGGAGGAGGAGGAGGAGGAGGAGGAGGAGGAGGAGGAGGAGGAGGAGGAGGAGGTCGACGGGAGGAGCGGCGGCGGCGACAGCGACGACGGGGCGCCAGGCGCTCTCCGTGCTGGACCGCCCTGGCCTGAACGTTTGCGAGGACGAGGCGCCGCAGCGCCCTCCGCCCGACGGTCGCCAGGGCCATGCCGCCGTCGCGCCGCCGCCGCTGGCGTCGGATGCTGTTGTGGGCGTCACCGGCGTCGCCGTCGGTCGTCGGCGTCGGCGGCGTCGTCGTCGGCGTCGTCGTCGTCGGCGTCGTCGGCGGGCGTCGTCGGCGTCGTCGTTGCCGTCGGCAGCGTCGTTAACGTCGTCGTCAGCGTCGTGGTCGTCGGCATCGGCGGCGTAGGCGTCGTCGTCGCTCTCGGGGGAGTATGAGTAGGAGCAGGCGGACCAGGCGGAGGGATGAGAAGGAGGAGGCGGAAGAGGTTTGGGTGGTTTACTCAGAAACATATTGGTGAGTTACCACAGGTCCCCGAAGGTGTTGGGCGGCGTTCCGTAAGTTTCCGGACGTTGATGGGAGTTCCTGGAAGTGGATGGGGAGAGCGCGTTCCTCTTCCTTCTCCTCCTTCCCCTCCTCCTCCCTGTCCTCCTTCTCCTCCTCCTCCTCCTCCCCTCTTTCTCCTCCTCTTCATCATCATCACCATCATCATCATCAACAATAACAACATCATCATCATCATGATCATCATCATCATCATCATCATCATCGCCATGGCCATCATCATCATCATCAGCAGCAGCAGCATCAGCATCAGCATCAGCATCATCATCATCATCAATATCATCATCCTCTGTCTTCTCTCACCTCACCTGCCCTTTCTCCTCAACGTTTGTTTCTCCCTTCCCCTCCCATGATTCTTGCAACGCTGGCACTGGAGGGGAAGGGTAGTGATGACGATGGTGGTGGTGGTGGTGATGATGCTGCTGCTGCTGCTGATGATGATGATGATTATGATGATGACGATGATGCTGCTGCTGCTGCTGATGATGATGATGATGATGATGATGATGATGATGCTAATGCTAATGCTGCTGCTGATGCTGCGGATTATGATATTACTTGGTGGTGCTGATGCTGGTACTGATGCTCATGCTGATGCTGATGCTGCTGCTGCTGATGAGGATGATGCTGATGATGCTGATGCTGGTGATGATGATGCTGATGGTGGTGGTGGTGATGATGATGGTGGTGGTGGTGGTGATGGTGATGAGGAGGAGGAGGCGGAGGAGGAGGAGGAGGAGGAGGGTGAGTAGGAGGAGAAGGAGGAGGATAAAGGTAGGAGGAACATCATATGGAATGGTATGAGGATGGGTGATGGTGGGTAGCGTGAGAAAAGGAAGAAGGAGGCGGAAGAGGAGCAGGAGAGCGAGGATGGCGACGAGGAGGATGATAATGATGATAATGATGATGATGATGATGATGATGATGATGATGATGATGATGATGATGATGAGGAGGAGGAGGAGGGGAGGAGGAGGAGGAGGAGGTGGAGGAGGAGGAGGAGGCGGAGGAAGAGGAGGAGGACGTTGCAATGTATGTGGATTCCAGTCCGACTAACGCAAAAGGAGGAGGAGGAGGAGGAGGATGAGGAAGAGGAAGAGGAGGAGGAGGAGGAGGGGGAGGAGGAGGAGGAGGAGGAGGAGGCCGCACCGCACACAGCTGGAGGTGCTGTTCAACACCGTTCTCGATGCCTGCATCTACAGGGCGGATAAGGCGCGGACGGCCAATCGGCGGTCGGGGATGAGCGGGCGCGGAGCCTGGAGAGGCAAGGGGGAGCATGGGAAGGTCGTGGATCGAGGATGGCTCTTTTTCGATGCTTTTGGGCCTGGCGGAGGCTACCTGAGTTCTCCGAGGAGGGGATGTGAAAGGGGAGAAAGGGGAGGAGAGGGGTCCAGGTGAGGGAAGAGGAGGAGCAGGCGAGGAAGGAAGGATGGGGAGCAGGGGCGGTGGGGGATGGTGGGATGAGGGGGAGGAGGAGAGGATTGGAGGCGGAGGCGAGGGGAGGAAAGGTCAGGCTGGATGGGAAGGGGAACGAACGAGAGAAGGAACTTGCGAGAGGAGCAGGGCGGGTGGCGGCGAGGGGGGGATATGGGAGGGTAGGGGAGGGGAGGGGAGGAGGAGGGGGAGGAGGAGGAGGAGGAGGAGGAGGAGGAGGAGGGTTATACTGTTGTTGGTTATTACTCTCTCTCTCTCTCTCCTGCGACAGCCGCCTAGTTACTCTGCGCCACCATGGGCCACGCTTTTGAACTGCAGCTTTTCGCACTCCCTTTTCCGCACTGGCGGCTGCCTTACATTGATTGTCAAGGCCTAAGTCGGCGATTATGCTCCTTGAGGCCAAGATTTTTTCTGGACGCAACAAGATCTAATCTTCATGTCCGTGCAACGTCAAACAAGATGACAGGGAGGTGAGTTGGATCCAGGGCCAGCTGCAGCCACGCCAGCAGAATGGTTTCTGCTGCAGTTTCAAGCTTACGGTCTGGCCTGGCCCACCGCGCCTCAGCGCGACACGCTATCCAGTTCACGGTCTCGAGGCGTCCACGTGCCGAGCTTTTCCGAGCTTCCCGTCCCGCGGAGCGGAGCGACACGCGCTCCACTCGCCAGGCACAACGTGTCGCCAGGGCCGCCGAGGCGACACGCTATCCAAAAGTTCCCGACTGCATCACCGTCTGTATCATCGTCACCATCCTCGTCCTCGTGCGGCTTGTCACGTGGCCTGTTTCTGATACCATTGCTTCCGTTGATTGCTGGCCGCGCGACGCTGTCTATTGCCCGCTTTGTGTGTATGTGTCCCCCTCCTTCTCCTCCACCTCCTCCTCCTCCTCCACCTCCTCCTCCTCCTCCTGATGCCGTATTTATCATTGTGCTCCCCTTACTTTCTTTTCCCCCTTCAAATTATACCCCTCGTTTTCTTTTCTATCCTACCCATTCCTGGTCCCTTTCCGGTACCCCTGACCATACCCTTCCCCTCCTCGCCCTGCACCTCCCCCCCTACCCTTGCACTCCCCCTTTGCCCCTCCGACTCCTCCTCCGCCTTTCTGCTTTCCTCCGCCTTCCCTATGTTCGGGGGCGGCCAAGAGGGGGGGGGGTGGATATCATGGCTGGGGCCATGATATCTCCCCCGATGTCATGGCCCCTCTTCTTATTACAATGAATTCCCTGGCCTCCCCCCCGAGTCCGAACACATGCCTCGGGCCCTGCTTTCCTCCGCCTTCCCTGCACTCGGGGGCGGCCAAGAGGAGGGGGGTGATGACTAGAGGGGGTGGATCTCATGGTCACGGCCCCTCCTCTTCTTACAGCACGTTCCCTGGCCCCCTCTGGTCCGCCCACATGCCTCGGGCCATGATTTGCGACCCCCCCTCTGGGACGCCCCCGATGCATCCCCTTCTCCCCCTCCCCCCCGTGTCACTGCCATCGGCGCAGCCCGCGGCGTCAGCTCGCTCCTCCACTTGGCCTTCTCCCCCTCCCCCCTGCCCTGCCGTTCGGCAGCCGCTGCCTCCCGCGCCGCCGCCGCCGTCGTCGTTCTCCTGGTATCTTACTCCTCGTCCTCGTCCTCGTCCTCGTCGTCGTCGTCGTCGTCGTCGTCGTCGTCGTCGTCGTCGTCGTCGTCGTCGTCCCGCGCCTGCCGCCGCCGCCGCCTGCCGCCGTCGTCGTCGGCCTCGTCGTCGGCAGGGCCGGCCGCGGCGCCGTGGGCCCGGCGACGACGCTCGCCGCGCGCAGGCCGGGGGGGGGCGGCGGGCCCCGTCGGCCGCGGGGCGCGCCCCGGGCCCCCCCGGCGGCGGGCGCGCTCCGCGCGGGCGATGCAGGCGCGCTCCGCGTCGGCGGGGTCGCTGCGCCCGCGCAGCCGCGGGCCCACGGTGCGCACGCGCGCGCTCGAGGAGTGCGCGGCGGCCGAGGAGGGCGGCGGCGGCGAGGCGGGAGCGCGCGCGCGCCCGCGGCGGCCTTCGGAGGCCCTCGAAAGGCCCTGCACCCAGGAGGAGGCGGAGGAGGAGGGGGAGAGGGAAGTCAGGAGGGCAGTTTCCTTCTCCGTTCCTTTTCCTGCTCCCTATAGATAACTCTTCCCTGTCGCACCCCGAGGCACTTCGGTAGGGCGTGCCAGGCGTTTCGCCTGAGAGCTCCTCGCCGCTCATGATCCTTAGGCTGCGAGTTTCCAAGAGCTTCACAGATGGAGGGCGAACCGTTTTCACAATGTGGTTCTCGCCTTGGCGTTTCGCACGTTCGCTTTAAACAATCGCAGAAGCTTCGCGGATTGAGGGCGGCCCGTTTCCAAAATGCTGCTCTCGCTGTAGTGCCGCACACACTCGTTTTAAGAATTTGCAAGAATTTCACGGATTGAGGGCGGTCCATTTTCAAAATGTGGTTCTCGCCTTAGCGCCGCGCACACTCGTCTTAAATATTTGCTAGAGTTTCACAGTGGAGGGCGGCTCCTTTTTAAAATGTGGCCCTCGCCTCAGCACCGCGCACATTCTTTTTCAACGTTGCAGGAGCTTCACGGATGGAGGGCTGAGGGTGCGTTCTCGCCCTAGCGCCGCGCACGTTCGTTTTAAGAGTTTACAGCAGTTTCAAGAATTCTCAGAGTTAACGTCCCGGACACACGGTATTTCGGCACGATGCCGGACTGCCAGGGCGCAATAGTTGCGATGATTCGCGGTGTTGAAGTCACAGGAATGGTCTTCTGGCAAGATGCAGGTTCGGTTCGTCAAAACGCAACAGTAACGGTGATGCGCGGCGTTGAAGCCCAAGGAAGTGTGTTCTGGCGCAGTTCAGGATATCCAAACGATTGTCTTCAAAGGGCGCACTTCCGTCAATGAGAACAGTTCCGAGTAGGGGGCTTGTCACGAGGCAACCTGGAGGGAGGTCTGTTGCAACATCGTTGATGAGTCTTGGGTTTACTGTACACTGGTCCTCCTCCTCCTCCTCCTCCTCCTCCTCCTCCTCCTCCTCCTCCTCCCAGTTCATTCGTGGGGAGGAGGAGGAGGAGGAGGAGGAGGAGGAGGAGGAGGAGGAGGAGCAGCAGGAGGAGGAGCAGCAGGAGGGAGGAGGAGGAGGAGGAGGCGATGTCGAGGACGGCCGGCCCGTCGCCGCCCTGTTGCGAGGCCTCGGCGCTGGCGGCGTCGCCCGCGGCCGCGCGGACGGGCGGGCTCGGCGGAGCTCAAGGACGGCCTGGCTGCCTCCTCCTCCTGCCTCCTCCTGCCTCCTCCTCCTCCTCCTCCTCCTCCTCCTCCTCCTCCTCCTCCTCCTGCCCTCCTGCCTCCCTCCTGCCTCCTCCTCCCTGCCTCCTCCCCTCCCTCCTCCTCGTCCTCCTCCTCCTCCTCCTCCTCCTCTCTCCTCCTCTCTCCTCCTCTCTCCTGCTCTCTCCGTCCACCTTTTCCTGCTCGTGGTCGTCCAGTGTCCTCTTGGGTCGCCGGCACTCTTCTCCTCTTGCTGCCTCGGCGGTGGGCAGTCGGAAGCTCACCTTGCCATGGCGGCGCGCAGACGGACGCATGGCAGGCGCGACCCCCTACCATCTGGCTCACCCGCGGGGGCGCGAGGATTGACCGCGCTGCGCTGTCGGGGCCGCAGGATTCTCCATCTCCAGGGGCGGCGCGGGGGCGCGAAGATGCAGGCGCCGCGCACGGCGCAAGGCGCGAAGTGCATTTGACCTGAGGTAGCAGTTTTAGCGGAGCTCTCCGTGGCCCCCAGCGGTCTCTGGAAGTCCCCGCAGTCAGTGGAGTGTTGTCGCCCGTGAGGTTCCAACCAGCATGTTGATGTACATCGGGGGCTGCTTGGGAGACACGTCATGGTTCCCCCGCTCCCGCGATGTTTCCCTTTTACTTCTCTTCGCTGCTCAACCTCCTCGCTTCCCCCTTATCACGGAACACAGTCAACCTGCATAGCAAGGATGAGCGATTCTCCAAGGCAACCCTTGCATCCTTCCCCTTCGGCCCATCCTTGGCCGCCCGCTTTCGCTGGCCGCGCCCCGCTCGCAGAGTGTCGACATGGCCCTCCAAGGCCCTTGAAGAGTTGACGGCCGCGGCGGATTTGTGCTCGTTTCGTTTTGATGTTAGTAGTTTGTGCTTGCCGATCCCAGCATGCATAATTCCGTGCGTGTGAGTGAAGCCGAGGAGAGGGGAGCAACGCGCAGGCGCGTTTTTTTTGTTCGACAGGTTGATTAGCCCTTAGTGTATACGGTTGGAGTGAGCGGGACGCTGCTCAGGAAGCTCGGAGGAGGACCATAGGAGGAGAAGGACTGTAGGAGGAGGAGGAGGAGGAGGAGGAGGAGGAGGAGGAGGAGGAGGGAGGAGGAGGGGGCCCCCGCCCCTCCTCCGCCTCCTCCTCCAAGGTCCTTATCGCGCGCTCTTGTTGGACGGGCTGACTGCAGGCTGCCATGGGACGGGGCCCCCGAGAGGAGCTCTCGCGCTCTCCGCGCTGCAGCGGCGGGCGGACGCGGACCGGAGGAGACTTGCGCAGCTGGAGCGGCGCGCGGGGGCCTCGGAGAGGATCGGTGGAGGAAGAGGAGGGGGAGGACGAGGACGGGGAACAGGGGGAGGAGGAGGAGGAGGAGGAGGAGGAGGATCAGAGGAGGAAGGGGTACCCATACCTCTACCCTTCGCCCGTTTTCCCATGTTTGGGCCTCTGGGAGGCCATCGTCGCCACCGCTGGATTCGCCTCGAGACCCTGATCAGAACACACCCCGGAGAGGTCCGGGGGAGCAGCGGTATCGGTACCTTATGGATTCCCCAG